GGTTTTCAAAATTAAATTTGATAGCGTATGTGAACTTTTGAGAATTGAAATACATTTTGTTAGCCAATCGTTGCAATCGTAATGTTTCAAAGTATTGCAGAAATTCCACGGATTGCATACTTATGGCACATACAAAATGTGAGCCAATTAAAGTTAAAATATCGTTAAAGAATGATTTTAAAAACTCCGACAAGTCTCTGTTGTATAATTCCTTGACGTAAACACTCACTGGTGTGATTGCGTTTGCGAGATGTGCATAACATTGCACCATAAACTCACTATAACGATTCATTGCTCAACCAATAGAACAAGCCACCGACTCACAGTCTAATGCAGTTACCAATTAGGAACTTTGAGAAAGATCAATAATTTCATGTGAACATATTTTGAAGTGCTCATATAATTAAAGGCGATTCTAAATCATTTTTAAATTGTCTAATTAATAGAGTGGAAAATAATTCGATTGTAGCAATCTTTTGCTTCAGTTTCCCACAACTCAAAACATCCCGAAGCGAAGTAATGATGTCCTATTTTTTGACTGGCATTTTAGCAAGCATTACTTTCAATATGACTTTATTAAAATTCATTTCCGATTAATTTAGACTCAATTACCTCCGGTTTGCATTTACCTAATGAAGTTTTCATTTACAGTTTATAAAATTGGCACAATGAAATATGAATTGAAATGTAAATGGATTCATGTTATTGTCATTACTTTATAATTTTGACGATACGACTTCAGTTTCAAGGCTTTCTGATTCACTGAAACTTAAAGACTTTCAATTGATCAGCATCCAAAGTTTAAACTTATGTCAATGTATGATTCGACCTAAGGAGTTAAATTAACAAAGAAATTAATTAGCAATGTTTTGCTAGCGAATCGGGCCCTTTCCAATTGAAAAGTTATTAGAGAATGTCTGAACGTTATTGCCAAATTAGCAACTCTCTCCTAATAATAGCAATTCTTGTATCTCTTTCATCTCCAATTATTTTAGCATACATGTTTCGATTTCTTCAACTTTGATTGACAAATGTTAAGCAAAATCAGTTGGCTTTCTACCACCATGAATGCAAATTGGCGTCAACCAGTGAACTATTTTTAGCTTACCCACCCTAGTATACTTTTAAGTAGGTTCAATGTACTTGAAGTAAAGTGTAGAACAATTCTCAACTGTGAATACATATGAAATTCGCTTTCACTTTGATGGTATATTTTAGTTAGTTAGAGTTTTGACATTTTGAATGACCTAAACCAACTAATATTAATCAAAAGTAATGTCACTCTTCAAGAGAATGCTTCTACTTCATTATCTAATTGGGTTATCGCGATGGAATGTTTGTTTTTTTCTTGAAGAGCTACATTTCTGGCTCTCCAATATTTCTAAGTAAAGGATTGAGCAATTCCTAACTGAGAATTCAAATAAACTACTCTTTCACATTGCAGGCATATTAATAGCATGAAGCTGCCACGAAACGATTTCCAACAAACCGTATATGGTCTCAATACTTTCAATTATTTCAATGCCATCATATGCAATAGCAATTTTGAGGAAAATTAACTGGAAAATGTCTTTCGTGCTAATTCAAAGCAAATATTTCGAAAAAAAGAATATGCCTTTAGTCTCAAAATGACCAACACTTTGATCACCTTAACTAGTGTGCATACGAGGTCTATAGCCTTGAAAGGAACTAATTGTAAGCATTGATACTATTACTGAATAGCATAAATGTGGGACTGAATTGTTCGGATATTGTCTTCCACTCTAGTTCGTTGGAATAATCATGCACCATTTCATTTCTTCATTAAGTTAAGATCGAAGATATGGTGCCAAATATAGAGAAACAAGTGATTACTTTCAAAAGTAGGCATTCGGTATAGGGCACATTGTTCATCTCCTAATTCTGATACAAGTTCGATTTGAAACCAGTCTCTGTCTTAATCAAACCTTATTATCTCTTTGACCACATTGAGAATGAACTTGATATAGTAGCGAAATAGTTGTGAGAAGCACTTGTCATTAGATGAGGTAAATCAATTAATTAGATGTTTAAAACACAACTGGGTATTTCCATTTGCTTTGCGAGCAACAGCAATAAGTACAAACCAATTTAAGTAAGGAACGAGATTTAGAATGCAGATTTGTTGAAGAAGTTCAAGTTATTCGCTCACTGCAGTCTGGACTACCAATTATTTCATTTCCTTCAAGTCCATTTTTGCTAAAGTTGCCTAACTATTTCAAGTGTAACATACTCTCTTGTTCCTATTTGTCACTAGGACATTAACTTAACTTATTTACTTTATGCTATTGGATATTCATTTAAAATTACCAGTTTTAGAACCATTGGCTTAGTATTTATGAAATAAGTACTTAAAATGATTCCCGAAACAATATTTAGCGTTTGAAGGATGATCAACAGACCACAGATGAAATAATTAACGAAAGGTGTCCCAGAAACTTCTCCATTTATAACATCCCTACTTTCAAAATATTCAATTAGAATTAGCTCGAATGAAATATTTCAATTAATTTAGCCCAAAATTGCTATTGCATACAGTGACTTAGAAATTATTGAGACAATTGAGACCATATATGGTTTCTTGAAAATCGAATCGTGGTGACACCATGTCAAAAATATACTTGCAATGTGAAAGGGTAATTCGTTGGCATTCACATATGAGAAACGCCTAACACTTGATTTAACTGCCTTGAAGGCTCAGTAACATGCAAAATAAGAAGAGTGTGCTGTGGCTTCACTAGGTGTGGCACGAGTTCCAGGTACTCCATCTGCCCAATATGATCAAATATAACAATCTCCACTAAATCCACTGCGTGAGAATCGGTGACTGTAAAACCACTAGGCTCCATGAAATCAATGACCTCATCATGTTCCCTTTGAAAATGGAATCTATCAAAACTATCCATCGTATGTATTCTGAAATAAACGGGACACTTGGTGTTGGTAGTGTTGGTGGTGGTGGTGGTGGTTGGAAGTCTATCGGATTTGGAATGCGACAGCCTTATCTTCTTCTCCCCAGCGGCGTGATGTCGAATGGTATGCAGTTTATCCATGCAAAGCTCTAACTCATTCACCAGTCGAAATAGTCAAAATAACTTGCCATCAATCCATTTGATATTTCTCACGTAGTCTTGGAGACGTGTTTGCATTGCAGGATCCTTGAGGACACCCTTCCAACCTCGAATGGCCCAGCACACATTCACGAGATCTGGCACATGCAAATACTCGCAAATTCGTGTGATCACCGCCATGCTGAGGTAGTGGATGGGCTTCTTAGCGCATGCAGTTGGTTGAGTCTTGAATAATAACAGGGAAATAATAAATAAAGGCACAGAACGACGAAATGCATCCAATTTCTACTATTAAACGCTAATGTCAAGAACCCTGAACCTAATTACAAACTTTGAACTTTTCCTTATTTCTCTTCGTACCAGTGCATTGTGACATCTTGAAAAATAAATGGCTATTGTCTTCTCTGGTGTGTAACTATTCGGAGTGTTCATTTGTTATTCTTTGTTATTGGTTTAAATTGCGTGATTAGTTAAAGGGCCTTCAGTCTACCATGTATCCACCTTTAATCCTTACTTCATCTTCATTTCAGGACGACGACAGAAGAGAGTGAAAATATTCATAGACAAGTAGTTATCCTGGGGAGTTGGAGTAAGGTTTGGGCTCTGGTGGATACTGTGAGTGCAACGGAAATCATATAACATATAATCATTTTGACCATTATGAGCATTTACATTCTGCAAAAGCAATGGAAACGCATCTAGAGCGTCTTGAAAGCATAAATGAGGATCAAGGAATGAATCCCAAGTGTCCAAACGTGCATCAACAGCATTCCAATTAATGTGCTATGGACTTTTGTAGCTAGTGGAGTACGCAATCCACACACGATTAAACTACGCACCCCAAGAGTCTGGTCAGTGAGACCATGGACTGCTCTTATAGTCGGTTATTAATGTTCATTCAAATTACGTCAGACATATGCGAAGATCAAACCCGTTTACTGATATCGTAATATCACTAGATGCATTACTCATAATATGCGTTCCTCCTCTATACCATTGAGATGGTTCAAGTCCGTGAGCCTTTCCAAACACGGAGAAATTGCCACAGAAATTAGTGCAAATAATTCAAGATGAATTTATGTAGCAATCCGCAACTAACTCAAATAAATTCTCCTTCCGTAATTTAGTTTCTTGAATTTATTCTCTTGAATCAAACTTATCGCATAATAATGATAATCAATAATTAAAACTTAGATCATACATGATCATTCAAGTTTAAGCCAACGAGAATTACTGGCACTATTTATAAAACAAATAATCAGATCAAATATAATATACAACAAGATAATATTAAATTTGATCAAAAAGCATAAAAAATACAAAATAAATATGAAAAGTAAATCCGATCAAAAAGTATTTATTGATAAGAATGAATAAGTTGGCCAACACCATCATATCAATATTTAGTTTATGTGGACTAAAAGCTCAGCGGTGTTTTTAAGGTCTGTTTTATCTCATTGGTCATAAGATAAGCCAATCATACTTGAGAAAACTTGAATTGATACGGGTAAGTCCTATTCAAATAAGTTTGAATTCTAGTTTTCTAAACGTTCAATACTATTTTATTTTCCATATTGTACTTATTGGATTCAAATTAATGAATCTTTGGGGTTTATACCACATTCCATTGTACTTTGTATTTGACTAGATAAGATTTGTGGCTATTTTGATTATTCTCCTAAACACGTGTATTTACTATAGAAAATAGATTTGGTAATATTATTCTAGTGCACGATAGTGTATAACATGGAATAATTAAATATTTCATTTGTTGATGTTGTGAGTATAAATTTCTCCAGCTGTCTATTGGTTCCTTCAAATATTCTTAGTTTGCGTGTTCAGGTATTTTAACTTATTTTTTTATTTTTAGCGGTATTTGTAAGTTCATGTAGTGGTCAGTGGTGATCGGACATGCGAACAGAAGTAAAATCTTTAGGTAAGTTTGTAATTATTATTCAATACAAAGTTTTTTTAGAATTTATAACATCCAAAGAGGCCTCAAACAAAAACCCATTTCCCACCTCAGAAAGGAGGTCAATGAAAGAAAATGGCATTCGAGCACCGCCAACTAAGCGCCGGAAAACGCTTCGGATTTCACCGGACCCAGAGCCCAAACAGTGCGAGGTGTCTGTGCTCGAAACGTATCGGTTAGGATTTGAGGATAAAGAAAATAAAAAGACCTACATTTTTAATAACATCGATTATCTAGAAGTCTCTTATGCAGCTAGCGTTTTAAGCACCGATCTAGATAGGCTAGACTCCCCTGACCTGTTTTCCCCTGATCCGGAGCTCGATAGGCAACTTTCAGAAACGGCCTCTATTGCTCTTGAAGAGCTTTCTTCTCCCCTAGAATCCATTTTAGATGCAGCTGATGAGGAAATTGCTCGAGAATTCACTTCCCGGCAGCTCTCATACGATGATGAACTTAGAGTTCTTCGGTTACAAACTTTCAATCTATTACGTCTTATTCTCCCCCACCCGAAATTGAAAGAAGGTTTCGATACTTCCACTTCAGATCTGGACACATTTATTCTTCGAATTATTAAGTGTTTGGAAGGGAGCCCTGATGCTGTCGCTACTAAGGATGGTGATAATCATGATTATGTTAATGATGATGCTCCCGTCCAATCGAAAGATTGCTGTGTTGTGCTAGTCCCAGACTTCCCGCTTGCAAAATTTCGAAATCGGGTTGTAGCCCTGTTGAAATTACTCCTTCCCAAACTCCGTCTACCGGAATCTTTCGACCCCAACCGTGATTTGCAAGATCTGATCAATTCCATCTACTCGTATAACAATTTTAAGCCCTCCTAGTTTCTGCTGCATTGCATTTCATTTTCCTTCTATGCCCTTCCACGCTATCTTTTTGTACATATATATATTATGCTACCTATATTCACTATGTGTTTTAATAAGAAGCCTTCGATTGATACATCCTTTGTATATGTATTTGATTAAATAGAGTAATGTCAGTGTCTTCTCTTCTGGCTTAAATTTTTTCGGTTGTTGTATCATGCCAAGCGAGTGTGCTGGGGAGAAGCAATAGTTTGGAGGAGCTATGTAGATATTTGGCCCACGGAGTTCAGGGTAATTACTCCTTCTTATTTCGGAGAAATAAGTGTTTCTGAAGAGGTTTGCATTGAGATCATAGTTCGAGGTATGACTTTCTAGTATGTGACGCTTTGATGATCTGAGATGAGTCATTGGAAATCCCCCCCCCCTCTTGATCTTTCCACCTGAAGAACAGTACAAAATCACTTTCCTTGAATATCTTCATGAAGTTTTCAATTTCGCACTTCACCTGGGCTGAATATTTGCACTATTAGAGATGGGAATTGACACAGTTCAACAAAAGGCTCATCTGGGGTCTTCATTATAATCCTGCGTCAATTCATACTTCAAAGTTTGCCATTGCTTTTTCGAGCACATTGTTGAAGATCAGATTATTTTACATCTCAACTGATTGACGATAGGGGAATATTAAAGGCCTCATTCGATTTTAAAAGTGCTTGATGATGTAGAACGGCGTCTATGTTTTCGGAGATTGTGCTATTTCGGTAAGCAGAAAACAAAGTCAGTGCTCTTTGTTGAATTATAGTGTTCAATTATAAGCAATATTTGAAGTTAAATAATGAATTCTAATGCTCAAATTTCTCTTGAATTCAGTATTTTGATCTTAACCTCATAAAAAGACAGGGACTAGCGACGCTGATTAAATAGCTTTATAGAGAACTTGTAGGCAGCTCAGAGGTACGCAAGTCCGTGAATGTGATGTTACGGGGTAAATAAAAGTGCACCTGGGACTTGCGTATGGTAATGACACCATTAGTCCGAGTGTGATTAACACTTGACAGCGTCAACAGGAAAGCCAACCTGATTGGTTTAACTGAGAGTCTGGTTGATCCATTGTTATGTGGCAAAGATAGTTGGTCTTCTCAGATATGCGTCTTGGCATAATAACCTATCTCATAAGCCTGCAATAGTTCATTTACAAAGCAGCACCTAGTTGCGGATTGTGTAGCTCGTTTTAATGAGCTATTAGGGTGCAACTCTTGGTTATATAATGACGTTGCGGAAGTAAATGATTTCGATTGGGTCAGTTTGTTCCATATCCAATGGTTCCCTATTTTTCTTGCAGAGAAACAGCCCCAACTAAAATTATGATAGCTAAGACTAGATACAAAATACAAACCCATTGCGATGCGAAAGCGATTGGAAAAGTTCGAAGGAAACACCCTGCGACAGAGATGGAACAGGGGATCCTTTTTAGTCTTGATTTTATTTTGGATATTTATTCAATAAATACTTATCTGAAGTATCCATCTTTCTCTCTCTAATAGGATTATTGTAGTGAACTTGGAGATTTGCTAAACAAGTGGATTTTAGTGTTTTTTTCTGGTCATAGGCGGTTTCAGGTTTCTCCTAAAGTTTCTCAATCTCTTCTCAGACCTGTTTCTCCTTCGGTACTTCCTACTTTGACTCTTGTTATAGTGGTCAGTGATGACAAACTGCTGAACCCCATGGGTCGGGGATAGTATAAGTGACAAAGTACTATTGTAATTTCCATACCTGAGGTTATTCCCCCCGACTTATCTCCCAATTTGTCGTGACTAAGCACCAATCAGTCCCTAAATCCAGTCAGCTTTATCCGCACAAAAATCGAATGCACCTCCTTAAAGGGTGGAAAGAAGGTTGTTGCAATCGTGCCTGCTCAAGACTCAGGGCGATCGATACTGCTAAACCTAGTTTTTACTCTTAGGGAATATATGCTCACGAAGTAAGAATCCTTGGGATCACGTTGATCTCAGTCTTGCTGGAACCCTCCATGCAACATCAAATCCTAGTTTGTTCATATTCAAATTACAATAGGCAACCGTATATTCTATATGGTAAACAGATCCGTCAAAGACTTCTGTGAACGCATGTCACCTCACTCCGACTTAAACTCCCAAAACTTCGAAGCCGGGCATGAGTTATAATTAATGTCATCTTGTTTATGCTTCACAGAGGAGAAGGAATATCGAAGTGAAAAAAGTCGAGAGGGGGGAGACAGAAGGGTGTTTCGAAGAGGAAGGTTGAAAAGGTAGAAAAAAGGTGAGGTGAGTACTATGAAAGTAGCCGATTATGGCATACAGTGGGGTGATGGTAGTTAGAAATGAGAAGTCAACTGCCGGTTTGCAGAATTTTTTTTGTCGTGTGAGTATACGTTACCCAGGGTTCACCACGTGGAGGTAAGTCTATCGCACACCCCATCCTGAAAAGTTAAATCTGGCTGAAGATTAGCAGTTAAATCGATTGGGAGGGCCCTGCAAGTGATGTCAATTTTCGGGAATTAGGGATTACAATCATTTGCGATTTCAATATAGTAAGCTGAAGAAACCATGCATCTTTAAAGTTGGGCAACTTTAAAGATTGATTTGTGGTATCGCTCAGTTGACATAACTTTCAGCAGTGCCCACTCTTGTTATGTTCTATGCTTGCTGTTATTTAAAATTAATAGGGCAAGTTGGGGTGGGGGGGGAGTTGGGGGTCAATGAACCGGGGTCATAGAACATACCCAAATAAATATAAAAGTTAACTCAAAAGTATTCATTCATTCATTCCCT